ATGGTAGCAGTGGGGTATAGACATGGTAATAGTGGGTACATACATGGTAGCAGCGGGGTATAGACATGGTAATAGTGGGTACATACATGGTAGCAGCGGGGTACATACATGGTAGCAGTGGGGTATAGACATGGTAATAGTGGGTACATACATGGTAGCAGCGGGGTATAGACATGGTAATAGTGGGTACATACATGGTAGCAGTGGGGTATAGAGATGGTAGTAGTGGAGCATAAAGATGGTGGCCGTGGGTACAGACATGGTAGCAGTGCCGCAGTAGGGTATAGATATTGCAGCAGTGGGGTATAGATATGGCAGCAGTGCGGTACAGATAAGGTAACAGTTGGTTCAGACATGGTAGCAGTGGGGTACAGATATGGTAACAGTTGGTTCAGACATGGTAGCAGTGGGGTACAGATATGGTAACAGTTGGTTCAGACATGGTAGCAGTGGGGTACAGATATGGTAACAGTTGGTTCAGACATGGTAGCAGTGGGGTACAGACTTGGTAGCAGTGGGTACAGACTTGGTCGCAGCAGGGTAGAGACGTGTCAGCAGTAGATGCCAACATAATAACAGTTGGTTACATCCATCGTAATCAACTAGTAGCGGCTTCTCTGTACACAGTAATTACGAAAGGATGACCTCGAGCTATAAAAAGAGATTTGACGTTTACGCAACAGCGCCCGGTGGGGTTTACTCGGTATCTGTTACATGGGAGAGCCGGATACTACTCAGTTGAAGTGCCGTTGGCTGTCTTTATTACACCGTCCTCACGATAGCTGTTGCTTCCAGCTATGTCCCCCGAGAGTCGGCGTTTGGTCAAACAGGTTTCGGACTCGCAATGTGCATAAATGCTCGTTGCTACACACACACACGTCCCCTGATGCATGGGGCCAGTATTGTGTTCGCTTGCAAACACACGGGCTCAACACACATACGTTAGAGCCGCGAATTCCGTGGCTGTCAGGTAAGAAGATTTGCACACGCTGGGTGTGATATTCTTCGTATGCTATGCGAGGCGAAGCTCGTTTGCTCTATACGTTTGCGTATTCGCGCATCTGTGCGTGCGTGCGTGCGTGCGTGCTTTTCGTGTCTGTGTGCACGGGTGCGTGAGCGCGTGGTCGCGTTTGTGTGCATGCGCGCGTGCGTGCATGTGACCGGTATTAAACATGAAACATTTAATAATTAATCCACTATCATAATCATTGAAGCTAATAAACGATCCATCGGTATTAAAAAATATAGCTGCATGACGAGACTAAACACACGCTAGTTTATCCAGCTAGATGGAAGTTGATAGATACGTTTGGCTCCGTGCTGCTTGCGTATCAATCATGAATCGTGGCGTGTATTCGAATACGATTCATTATTCGATATTCGGTATTCAGTATTCGAATTCGATACAATTCATTATAAGTACACCGTATATGTGCATTGCTGTGATGAGCGGGAGAGCCGTAGAAATCGGTGTTCCCCCGCATGCATCAGCCTCTACCGTTGTTGACTGCTGTAAATTACGTCCGAGAGTAATCACTAATTAGCAATTGCTAATGACGGGACAGCACGCGGACAGTCACAACATGCAGTGCTGCTTCTCGAGATTCGGTGCGAGGTAACAGGCTAGCCGTCCTTCGGACCCTGACACTGCACAGAGACATTAGAAGATCGTTCTCCTTTGTGCAGCTAATCTCACTGTCCGATCGTGTTTGTGCAGGAAATGTGCCTCCGCCTAGCGTGGTGAGGCCAGCCGAAGTGTTTGCCCACGAGACAGACTTCACTATTGAACCCCTCAGAAAAGTGTTCAGAAATAAGCCGATTAGGAACTCCTGTTTGTTAATGTCCAACCCGCGCAGCTCGTATAGCTTCCCCCGTTATAGTAACCCACTTTTTCTCTGTTCTTTTCTTGTCCCTCCTCTCTCAGCACATATTACATTGGCTGTATATTTCGACAATGACGAGTGACGGCATCCTTCTTGTCTCGTTGAATGTCCGTAAACAAGCGTTAAGCGAATCACGCCGAGGGGAACATGCCCAATTTTAGGAGCTCAGAGTTGCGGCCAAACAAGCCGTGGTGCGTGTGAGTACATGCGCGTGACATAGTAGCAGTCGTTGTGTATATACACAGGACCCTCGTTAGTGCAGTGAAAATCTGAAGGGTCAACACCCAGCGATTTCACACTTGCCGCAGCGGCAGATATTTTCAGGGTGAAGATAACGGACCACAGACTATTTTAGGGCTAGGCCTCACGGCTCATTTCCTTTTATAACGCGACCATATTTTTACACGCCAGAAGCTAGCCGATGTGTAATTGTGCGCGAGAGCGGGTGTTGGAAATGGCTTAGCCGAGCAATTTTACTTCTCGATTGGCTGTAAGCATACCGATCAGTGGAAAGGTAGGATCTGCAGTCACTATACGGTGGCAATTATGGCCTGTGAAAGGCTGCAATATTGTGAATTTGGTGTATTGAACCTTGCCGCGCGGTTGGTAAGTGGCAGGTGACGGCTGAGGTAACGTGCCCGCGCGCGTAGTTGGATGCATCTAGAGCCATATACAGGCATTCACCTGCAAGCTACGGCGAGCGGGAAGATGTGCACGTGGTGTGTCGAGTTTATGGGGGGCAATCTTACGTGTCGGATCCCCACGTAGCGATTGCTACGTGTAGGTAGCCAGCTCACTAGAGCGCTGCAACCTTTTTCAAACATCAATTACTGCCAAAGCAGTAAAAACAGCGTTAACGTAGCATGGAAAGATTTTCCAGTGGCGAATGTACCGTAATTGCATAGGTGCTATAAATACTTTTATTTCGCCTTTTTCGTCAGTAGGTACAATACGGCAAAGAATACCTGCAGTGGACGTCATGTCTCCGCTGTCGAGAAACAATAGAACGCTAATTTCGCAACGCGTGTGACCTTGTGTTTTTCGTTGTTGTTCTTGAAGGGTGAGTAGCGTCGAACAAGGAGCCACACAGCGTGTGATGACGGAGCAGGTGAGCGCCAAGCGAGTTGTTCTGAAGCCCAACCCTCAAGTCAGCAGCGCCCTGCAGCAGCAAGCGCAGAAATACCTGGAAAAGAATGTCATCGCGTGGCTGACACCACAGAGGATGTACAGAGAGGTGAGTACAAAAACTAATGATTTCCTCCTCTCGTACGTGGTCATTCTTTTCGTGTCACAATTACGATTGGATTTCCGTCTCCTTCTCTCCAATGTTCGCACGGAGCAGGATTGCCCTGATACTCACACGCGTGCAGTAATTACAGTACGACGTGCGCGTTCCCCCTATTATATATATTGCGACCGCAGTGCGACTCTGGTCGCGATAGCGTCTTCAGCCACATCGGCTTCAGTTATGGCAGGCGACCAATATATTTATGTGTCAGTGTGCAGCGGCAGCCATGGCGGCAGCCAGCGTTTGTTGCAGATGAGCATTTGGACCGCATTTGCAGGGAATTTTCGGAAATAATAGGTGAAAGAGAGTATAGAAACATTAAGACTTTGGTAGTAAATAGATTTCGTATTTATTTAGCATTATATTTTATTGAAACGCTCCAAGTGCCTGTGGTCACGTATAGCGGCATGGCTGCGCTGCACCTCTGTCGTAGATAGCTGAATCGTTACCGGTGTTGACGGCGAGCCACGCGTGGAAAGCGCCCGCCCCGCGCGCGTTGTTGCGAAGAATCTCGGGAGTGCCGTTGTTACAACGAATTGCACGCAACGTTTGTCACCGGAAAAGTGTGTCATTGCTAAAAGCACGGCGCCGTCCCCAAGGGCACGGGGCCGTGTCACCGCGTTTGAGCCGTGTCGGCGATTGTCACGGCTACTGGAAGCGATGTGCACGACCGAGCGCACGAAGTGTCAACTGTGCCCGAGAGCGAGCTTCCGTGAGTTACACCACCAGTGTGTGAGTTACACCACCTGTGTGTGAGTTACACCACCTGTGTGTGAGTTACCACCCGTGTGTGAGTTACCACCCGTGTGTGAGTTACACCACCTGTGTGTGAGTTACACCACCTGTGTGTGAGTTACCACCCGTGTGTGAGTTACACCACGCCGTGTGTCAGTTTTACCAACCGTGTGTGATTACACCACCCGCGTGTGTGAGTTAACACACCCGTTGGTGTGAGTTACACCACCTGTGTGTGAGTTACACCACCTGTGTGTGAGTTACACCACCTGTGTGTGAGTTACACCACCCGTGTGTGAGTTACACCACCTGTGTGTGAGTTACACCACCCGTGTGTGAGTTACCACGCGCGTGGTTGTGAGTTACAACCACCCGTGTGTTGAGTTACACCACCTGTGTGTGGAGTTAGCACCGCCGTGTGTGAGTTACCCACCCGTGTGTGAGTTAGCACCACGCTGTGTGTAGTTACCACCGTTGCTGTGAGTTACCCCGCCGTTGTGTGTAACGTTACGCTGATAGGGTCTATGTCCTCCAGGGTACTGCCGGAGAACGTACCCTGTACGGTCGCGGTATACCGGAACGTACCCTGGTAACTATCTAGCTGAATATGGTTTAGGGTTAGGGTTGGAGGGGTTAGGGTTGGGTTAGAGTTAGGGTTAGGGTTAGTGCCTGGGGTTAAGGCTAGGGAGTAGGCGTAGCCGACTCCCTAGACTTCGTTAGTAGGAGTAGGCGAGGTACGGTCCGGCATATTAGATAGTAGTATTTAGTACCAAGGGTACGTTCCGGTATACCGGACCGTAACCAGGTACGTTCCGGCAGTACCCTGAGGACATAGACCCTATCAGCGTAAGTTAGCGCACCGACTGTGTCCTGTGGCTTACCACCCTGTGTGTAAGTTAACACACCGTAGTGGCTAATTACCAACCAGTGTGTACGTAAGTTCCACCAGTGTGTAAAGTTACTCACCAGTGTGTGAAGTTACCACCCAGTGTGTATTACCACCAGTGTGTAAGTTACCACCAGTGTGTAAGTTACCACCAGTGTGTAAGTTACCACCAGTGTGTAAGTTACCACCAGTGTGTAAGTTACCACCTGTGTGTGGGTTACCACCCTGTGTGTAAGTTACCACCAGTGTGTAAGTTACCACCGTGTGTGTAAGCTTACGACGCTGTGTGTTGGGTTACCACCGTCTGCTTGTAAGTACCCACCTGTGTCGTAAGAGTTCCACGCAGTGTGTAAGTTAACCCACCAAGTGTGTAAGTTACCACCAGTGGTGTAAGTTACCACGCGTGGTATCAGTTAGCCACCAGTGGTAAGTTTACACCAGTGTGTAACGTTACCACCCAGTGTGTAAGTTAGTACCACCGCTTGTGTGAAGTCAACTACCGTGTGTGTGGGTTACCAACCTGTGTGTAAGTTACCACCAGTGTGTAAGTTACCACCAGTGTGTAAGTTACCACCAGTGTGTAAGTTACCACCTGTGTGTAAGTTACCATCTGTATGTGAGTTACTATCTGTGTGAGTTACCGCTAGCTCTGAGCGATGGATTGTGCTGCGGTCTGTGCGCAGTACCTTGAATATGCGCGTCCACATTCATCTGCTGCGTCAGATGCTATTAGTATACGTGATGGTCGGGGCCGGACCTGCACTGCCGCCCCTACAAAGCTGCGTCGTCAGCCGTGTCAGTTAGCGCTTCTGTTCGCCGCATAAATCTGCCAGCGGTGGCGAAAGCTTTTTGTGAGCTGAAGTTTATCATCGCTGTAAATCAGCCCGATAACGAAGCTGTAATGAGACGGATTAGCATAGATTGGCTGCTGTTCTATTCTCGATTGTCCACTCGATTTATTGGGAGCCAACACGAAAACAAACATAAATTAATCCGCGCTATACAAAAGGCAAATCAAGGATTTTCCTCGTGGTGTCCCGGTGATAAAGGTTGCGGCGATGCATGCGTGATCAGTAGCGCCAGGGTTTACCAGCGCGTGCGAGGTGTAACGTGACTATTTGTGGAACTGCTGTGAGGAGAGCCCGAGTAAATGCCTTACAGGTAACTTTCTCGTTTCAGTTTTCCTATGTAGCATATAAAATTGTTTAAGGCCTTTGAGAAAATATTTTGTTGATAAACTTTACACTTTTGCCTTTCTGAAATGTGACAGGTGAAAAGCAGACGTCTTTATCTCTGTACCTACACCAGTGAGTCGTGTAGCATATTCATATATATATATATTCACATATGCATGCGTGCGTGAGCGCATTCGAAGCACTGTATTTGTGGATTTGTGAATGTCAGGTTTCAGATAATGCGATACTTTGTGTGGCTACGCGAGGAACTCTATTTGCGCGCACTTTTGAACTATAGAAGACGGAATGAAAGAAAAACATCGCGCTCTCCCGAAAACTGGGTGAACCGACGATCAGGCAAACGTGGATGGTGTCCGCGCGCTTCGGCTTTTGTGCGAGCTTTTGTCGATACGTTCAGCGAAGACCACCCTGACGTGTTTCCATTGCCAAATATTTTGCCTCTATTGTTGCGGGCGGCGGCGCTCGGGCGCTCGGAAGATAGAAATGGCAGAGCGCTTTACACCGCTACCCGTCGCCGGAATGCTGCTGGGACTATAGCCGCCGTGTTGCTAGTAATGTGTAGCACTTTGTGGCCGAATTCGTGTGCTGGTCGTGCGTACCTCGGCGGCGCTCTCGGTGCCATTGTTCGCGGAAGTTCTTAACACCTTCCCCCCGCCTGTTTGTGTGTTTGTTAGAAGCGTGCTGCTGCCCCGCTGCGACGCTGTCGCTGTTGCTGCCGCCGCATTCACGCTACAGTAGCCTGAATGCGGCGTCGGGAGCCTATACACACTGCCTGTCTGCGCGGGGTTCTCTGTGTCATCAGTGATGGACGCGTAACACAATCGCGGCGCTTGAAATGTGCGATGTGTTTGGAATTTTCGGACGGGCTGCAAGAAAAACATCGTTTCTCTGGATAGTGTTTGATAATGTGCAAGGCCCTGTGTGGGAACGTCTGGCAAGGACGTCTTTCTTTCACGCTGTTTTAAAGCATCGCAGCCGGCGTCATAGGTCAAGGTGCTAGAAGATTGTACACGACTGGGGACATCTTCGAACGTCCTTTAATGCTGCCTGATGTCTGGTTAACTACGCTCAAAAAATCACACGTTTTATGTGCTTTAAGTAAGCCATTAAAGTCCAATGAAAACAGGATTTGAATTTCAAACTCTTACAACAACATTCTACCTGCGGCTAGTTGACATCGCGTTATCAGTTCCATCTCGCGTGTGCGCACGATGCCGATCTCTGGTCGCAGCCACCTCATTTTTCACGTGCGTAATTTGTTTTACATTCACATTGCTGTGGTGGCTTTGACGTTTTAAGGCGAGAATTATCCGAAATGAAAACATGCAATTTTCGCAAAGCAGTCATGCTCGGTGTGATAGGAGCTGAACTTAGGGTAGCGCCTGGAAGGTCGCCTGAGCGCGGGAGAGGGTCGCCTGGCTACGGCAGAGGGTCGCCTGGGCACGGCAGAGGATCGCCTGGGCACGGCAGAGGGTCGCCTGGGTACGGCAGAGGGTCGCCTGGGTACGGCAGAGCGTCGTCTATCCAGGACAGCGGGTCGGGCTGAGAGGTCGTGACTCAGACGAGCCGGCGAGCGGCGACAACAGCAGGTGACCGATGCCGCCTAACTCCCGTCGCAGCGTAATGCGCACGCAATAGCAATGCCATGAGCCGAGATCGCCCGAAACTAGTGTTTGATTAACCTGCGAGGGCAGAAGCTGCCAATCACGGCGTTGTTAGTCGGTCGCGCCATTGTCTGCTGTTTGCCGTTGCGGAGGCACGGCGCTTTTAGAGCCTCCCCGTTCACTCTCCAAGTCTGTTTACACGATGCGTATCATATTGTGCGCCGTGCATATGATATTGTTTCTTGCGCAAATCCCCATTGAGGGATCGTCGGTTCGTGTTTGAAAATGTAGGCACATGTTGCCCCGAGCGGAATCTGGTGGCCGTTAACGGGCCTGTTCACATTTTACGAGTGGTGCTCCGAACAGTTACAATGTTCCAAATTAAAAAACGCCTGCCAGGCAGATGGATTTTGCCTTTGTCATGCGAGGACTAATAGCAGAAAGTCACACATGCTGGCCCTTTGTTCCAATTCAACAGGTTTTCATCGAGGCAAATTAGAATATTTCCGTGCACGCTTATTATGT